AGACTAAAAATGCCTTACATTTTTTAATATTCAACTTCTATAAAATGCTTTACATTCTTTAACAGAGGGAGTAATTTATTACAAATAAGGATAATGATCTATTGTTAGATTTTTAATAATTTAAAGTCTATAATTATCATTAATAATCTTACAGAATCCCTAATTGTCATTCTCCCCAACATTTTCTACATAGAATGGTGCTGGAAATAAGTCATTCTTGTTGAGCAGAAAGGGAAGGATTTAGACCAAGTAAGTACACATGTTAATTTTTGAAATGTAGTGTAGTATCATCCAAATTTTTATATATGGTTTAACTTTAAAATTTTAATTTTTAGAATAAAATACTCGACTTTTCTCTATTTTATCTTAATGATAGATACTCCTCTATTTTTAAAACTTATATGAATCTCCCCTAATATAATAATTACAAAACACAAGATTTTCTTATTTTAAATTTCATTTCCATCCAACAAATGTTAAGTTACATATGTTAGATCAAGTACCCCTTCTTTAATATAAATATTATCTAAAATAATTCAAATTATCAAAGAAGAATTAATGCATGTATATTGTTACTTTTTTTATTTAAATATTTAAACTTTTTAGCTATACAACAAATGTATTTATTTAAATAATATTTCTAAAATTTAAATACATAAAATTGGTCAAAATAATATTTCAAAGACAAAGTTAAAAAATTTAATTAAATACCAAACAAGCACATAGCTTAACTGGTAAGAGATTATACTAGCTTAATCAGTGTTTTTGACTTCAAGTCTTAAGTATACAGCTATGTTAAATACTTGTTGGGAGAACTTTATGGCCCATGTGGTCCTACCCAACTTGGCCAATGAATAATGGATAATTATACAAAAAACTTAATTAAATAAGGATTTAATGTAATAAATTAATGTATGTAATTTATATTTATTTTTAAAATTTTATTGGATAAGATATCAGTTTAACACTTTATTGATTTAACTAGATGAATTAATCTAAAGTTTTATACTATGATTTCTAATCAATCTCAGGACTATCTTCTAAGCAACTTCTCATAGTTAATTTGTTTGACAATTTAGAGAATTTTCTTTTGTAGTTTCCAAGCAAATCCAAGGCAACATATAATGAGAAAAGTAACAGACTCTTGGGGTATTATTTTTCTATATCTAAAAGACTCTTGATAATTTTGAGCTGGTTTGGGCAACCTATTCAGCGAACAGTTTTTGTGTTCTTCAAAAAAAAAAAAATCTATTTAGTAACATGTTTTAAAAGTATTTTGGAGAGCAAAAAATAAAATATTGTTCTGCAGAATGAAAAAATGAAAACATCTTGTTATGTGTTCTAGGATTACTGTGCTGGAGAATAAGGGAAAATGAAAAAAAAACTTATTTTCATTAATTTTTTTTTCAAATATGTTCTATAAAATATCAGTTTTTAAAATAATAAAATAAAAACATTCTCAAACAAATACTTTCATTCTTACAATACTTCCTAGTCTTCCCTCTCTTTCTCTCATGCACACAAAATTATTTTTTTTTACTATATACGTTGTTTTGTTTAAATTTATCCATTAATGTGTGTGTGTGTATTTACTCCTGTTGTATTTGCTTCTTCTCAATAAAAAGTAAATCGGCAAAACTATTGATCTAGAAGGGAGGATTTAAATTCATTTTTTATATAATATTTTTTTAATTTTTAAAATAATTGTAACCCAATCTTTGTTGTCGTCCCAAGTTAATCCTGAATGTGTGTTGACAAAAATAATAAAAAATGACTAATTTAATAATTACATGATATAAATAAATATCTAAAAAGTAGAAAAAAAGTTAAGAAAACACAATAAAGTAAGAAAAGCATCATGTGACGAACGCGTAAGACTAGAGAGAAGACTTGGAATTCCGGTATTATTTATTCTTTCATCTTAACTCAATGCACACAAGAGTTCCATTGGGCTCACTCTCTCCATTTTGCTTTCTCATATTTTCTCCATTTTTCTTTCTCTGAAATTTGTAGCAGGCTGCTCGATTTTATCTTATATCACTTCAAAATCCGACAAATCTTTCTATATTACTTCATCCTTCAGGTTTCTACTCACTTCCTTGCTCCGTTTTAGATTTCTTCTGTGAACTGAATGGTTTGGATCTGTAGATTTCGCTTTTCTTTGAACATCCAGCGTCAAAGAGAAAGAATATATATACAGATTCTGCTTCCATTTAATTGATTTTTTCTTCCTTCTATGTTCTTTTTCTCTTTTATGCCTGGATGCCGATGGATGTAATTGTAATTTGCATGGTTGAGCTTTCAAATTGTTGTTATGGCACTTGAAGCTCATGGAGTTGACTACCCTTCAAGCTCTTCTGGCTCAGCCAAGACATGGAAGTATCATGTGTTCTTGGTTTTTCGAGGAGCAGACACTCGTAAAAGCTTTACAGATCACTTGTATTGCACTTTACAACGCAAGGGAATGATAGCTTTCAGGGATGATGAAGAACTTGAGAGGGGACAAGTTATTAAACCAAGTCTATTCCAAGCAATTGAAGAATCTCTTTCTGCAATTGTTGTTCTCTCTCCAAACTATGCTTCTTCCTCCTGGTGCTTGGAAGAGCTCTCAAAGATTCTTCATTTTAAAAAAGAGTTGGGTCTTCATGTATTTCCAATCTTTTACGGTGTCGATCCGTCTGATATCGACTTCAAAGAGGAAGTTTTGCAAAAGCATTTAAAAAGCATGAAGAAAAACTTCCACAAGATAAGATGAGGGTACAAAATTGGAGGGATGCTTTGAAAGAAGTTGCTGACTTATCTGGCTGGCATTCTATCAATTGGTAATTTTTTGAACTTTCAATAATTATCATGAACATTTTTTAAATAATATTAAGGGTGTGGTTGTGAAGGATATTTCCTTTCATGTTTATTTGTGTACTGCATAATATTTGTGTGATTATAAAAAAAATGAATATTAAGGGTGTGGATATTAATTACTTTAAACTATTTAAAAATTGTTGTCAGCTGTTATAATGTGATTATATATATATATATATATATATATAAGGACAACATATTTTTTATTCCTAGAGTTTTGGTCTTTCGTTAAGATCCTAAATTTTTTTCATTAATTAAGAAATATGTCCTTAAAGGTAATCATACTTAACTTTGGTCATTGTCTCGGAGATATATCATATATCACTTATTTAACACGATGCTTGATGACAATAGAGATTTTGACCAAAATTGACTATAATTTTATACATAGATTTCTTAATAATAACAAAAACTACAGTTCCTTGACCTATATTGACCAGAACTCTAGATATTAAAAAAAACAAAAACAAAAACAAAAACAAAACAAAACAAAACCGGTTTCCCTTGTATAAAATTCAAATAAAAATCTATGAAAAGTCAGATTGTTTATGAACCATGATTAAATTGACTCGCCTCAAACTCCTTGCAAATCCCTATTCATAATCTACTTTGTAAAAAAAAAAAAAAATCTATGGCGAGGCTATTTAGCAACATTCACCAAAAACAATTAGGAACCCAAGTTTGAGTGTAGCTTTTACAATTGATAGGTCCTATCATAAAACAAATGAGAGGAAAAATAATTTTAAGTTTTGAAATAAGGCTGACAATAATATAATTTATTCTTTTCTATTACAAACCCAGCTATATAATATTGCATTACAATAATTTTAAAAAATATGATAAATGTATGTTAAGGTTAACTTATGGTACGTGGTTGAACTAAAAATGTTACTTGTGCGACCATGTTTTCATTATATCAAATTAACTATTTTGTTTTATATAAATTAAAATTCAATTGACTTAATGTTAAAGACTTACTTTATATTCCTTTGCAGGCATGAAACAAAACTCATTGAAGATATTATTGAAAATTGTCGTCAAAAATATACAATGAACTTCCATTTGACTCTGAGAGATTAGTTGGAATTGAATCAAAACTTGCATGCTTAAATTCAATTATAGAAAATGGATTGGATGAAGTTCGATTTATAGGAATATGGGGCACTGGTGGTTTAGGTAAAACTACTCTTGCAAGAGCTTTCTATGAGAGAACGTATAAAGACTTTGAAATTCATTGCTTTTTGTGTAATGTTAGAGAGGTATATGAAAAAGGTGGTTTGATTGCCTTGGAGAAAAAGCTTCTTTCTTCTTTTGTATAAAAAGGATGTGGATGACCATCATGAAGGAAGGATGTTGATAAAAAACATGTTAAGCAATAGGAAAATTCTTCTTATCCTTGATGATGTGAGTGATATAAGCCAACTTGAGAATTTGGCGGGAAATCAAGGATGGTTTGGGAAGGGGAGCTTAATAATAATAACAACAAGAGACAAGCATTTGTTATTATCACATGGTGTATCTACTTGGTATAACATCAAATTTTGAGTGATGATGAATCCCTTGAACTTTTCCATCAAATTGCTTTTAAAGGAAGTAAGCCAAGTGAAGATTTTTTGGAGCTTTCTAAAACTGTGATTCACTATGCAAGCGGCCTTCCTTGGCGCTCAAAGTGTTGGGTTCATTTCTTTGCGGAAGAAATACATTAGAATGGAGAGATGCAATAGCTAAATTTAAGAAAGTTCCTCCGAATGACATCTTGAAGATACTTAAAGTTAGTTTTGATGGATTGGAAGATGATGAGATCAAAACTATATTTTTAGATATTGCTTGCTTTTTTAAGGGGATGAACAAAGATTATGTCATGCAAATCTTACAAAAATTAGATTTACATCCAATAATTGGAATAAAAGTTCTGGTTGATAAATCTTTGATAATTATTGATCATCTTCACAATACTTTATGGGTTCATGACATGCTTGGGGAAATGGCTAAGAACATTGTTGTTCAACAATCATCCCATGATGTTGGCAAACGTAATAGGATATGTTCATTGGAGGATGCTAATCATGTTCTAGAAAGCAATACGGTAATACTTATTTTCTGGGCCCTATTAGCATATAATATAATGCTCATAATTTTTTATGACTATGCACTTTTTATTTAGTAAATTGTTCCATGCGACGTCACTAACTTGATTTTTTTTCCTTTTTTTTTATTTAGGGGACAGAAGCAATTCGAGGCATCGTGTTAAGATTAGACAAACCATGTGTCTCCAATTGGGATCCTAAAGCCTTCATAAAGATGAGTAATCTTAGATTACTTATCATAAAAAGTGGTTGGCAACGGCATGCTGATCCTGCTGGTTATTTGAATCTTCCTCGTGGGCTTAAATTCTTTCCAAGTACATTAAAAGTGTTAGAATGGAATCGATGCTGTTTAGATACTTTCCCAGGTCAAGTTCTTAAACAACCACAGGTAATTAATTATGGCCTTTCTATTAAAGATAGGTATATGTAATTTTGAAACAACTGATACTTGTTTAAGAATTTTTTTTATTTGTATCTTTTTTTTCAGGTTTTAGGAAAGCTTAAGCACCTTGATTTAAGCCATTCAAAATATCTAATCAAAACACCAAATTTTGATGAAATCCCTGATCTTGAAATAGTCATTCTTGAAGGTTGTGTAAACCTTGTTGAAGTCCATTCATCTCTTGGATGCCATAAGAATCTTGCCACAGTCAATTTGAGGGGTTGCAAGAGTATTGAAACTCTACCAAGAAAGTTAGAGATGAAATGCCTAAAGACTCTTGTACTCTCAGGCTGTTCAAAAATCAAACGACTTCCTGAATTTGGGAAAAGCATGGAGTGTCTATCCCAACTTGATGTGGAGGAGACTGGTATCACAAAACTACCTCAATCACTTGTCAATTTGACTACTCTTGCCGTTTTAAATCTTATGGATTGCAAAAGTCTGGTATACCTTCCCAATGTGATTCAATATATGAAGTCTATTAGAATTCTCAATTTTTCTGGTTGCTCAAAACTTTCAAGTCTTCCAGAGGTTTCGACTGAAAATGTGACTTTAGAAGCGCTTGATGCTAGTGGAACTGCTATCAAGGAAGTGCCTTCCTCAATTTGTCAGTTGACAAATTTGAAATCACTATCTTTTAGTGGATGCACTGGACAAGAACAATCATCCTCACAAAATTTCTTTTCCAATTTTAGTTGGTTCTCTAGGATTACAAGGCCTTCAATATCCACTGGGTTATTGCTGCCCGCTTCTTTACCAAGTTTATCATCATTAACAAACTTAGATTTAAGTTATTGCAATCTCTGTGATGAGTCCCTTCCTAATGATTTTAATGCATTGTCATCGTTGGAGGTGCTTGATCTACGTGGAAACAATTTTGTTAACCTACCTAGTGGCTTTATCTCTAATCTTTTAAGTCTCTGGGGCGTTTTCTTAAGTCATTGTCCAAGGCTTCAGTCATTGCCACGACTTCCACCAAATATATGTAAGACAGATGCGGCTGATTGTCCTTTAGTGACACCTAAACTTGGTCTACAACAGCTGTGGGAATTGCTTGAACAATTTGAAGATAAGGTTGGTTTGATTTTCTCATTAGGATGTTTCTTACACATTATAGTCATTATACTTCTCTAAAATATATACAAAAAATATAGCTTCAAAATAGCACGAATGTAAAAGAGCGTTACATTTTGGATATTCTTAAAAGTTTTATTATGTGGTTGTTTCTTGAATATTATAATCGTCACACTTCTTTAACATGTTAAAAATATTTGTTCCAGGATGGCTTCATGTCAAAATGGTGGTTCTTTTTACAGATTCCAGGAAGTGAAGTGCCATCATGGTTTTTATAATCAAATTACTTCCATGACAAGACTTCTCGTTTTAAATCAAATGTGTCATTGATAGCGGATATAGATGATCAATGCCTTTCAAGTAAATGGTGTGGAATAGCTGTATGCTTAGTTGTAGAAAGACGTCATTATCCACCTCTTAAAAATTGTTATATTGAAGTATTGGTTTGGGAATGTGAATTTCCTTGGCGGTGTGGGGAAGCTTATTTTGAGTTTGGGCATAACAGCCAACTCATTTTATTATTCATTCCATGCTTTGATAAGGGAAAACATCAATTTTCTTTTAATATTGGAGATCGGCTAAAAATAAGGAAGTATGGTTGGCGTGTGGTGTGTAAAGAAGATGTTGAAGCATTACGAAGAACAATGGGTGAAGGATGCAGTGGCAGCAGTGATTCAGATGACTGCCACACTCTTAATGATGATGATGTGGACATCCAAACACCTCTTGCTAAACGCCAAAAATTCGAATAAATGGTTTCAGGTACACACGTCAGCATTATCTTTTTTTTTTTTCTCTTTTCTTTATGGATATCTAATGCTGTTTTTGTTACATATATAATATCAGTAACATTGACATTATTTGCATACGATACGACTAATGGCAGTCGTTGGTTAAAAAATTATTGTATTATTAATCTTTACAATGTCAAACAATTTTGATTTCATCTTTATAATATAAAATTTAAATAATTTTTAATTCAATCTTTATTATTATATTTTATCAATATATTGCTACATATTTGAAAATATTTAGCTATACATATAAAACTCAATACTTATAAAACTTCATCAACATGGACCTATTTTAAAAAATATGTAAATGATGAATGTACAAATATTAATGTTAAGAAAACTAAATCGGTTATTGAATCGACAGAGGTATTCATTCACGGTTCAATGGTCAAATCATGATTTGAACCATAAGTCAACTAGTTATGAATAAATTGATCTATTTTAAATTTTAAACAATATATGTTTATAATAAAAAGAAATAATTATATATTATAATAAAAATGAATTTTTAAATTTCAAACAAGATCATAAAAAGATAAAAAAGGAAATATACATTAATATTCCATCATTTAAATCCAATATACATATACTTATTTCATAATTTACAATTTATAACTTTAAAATATCTGCATATTTACATATTCTATACATATTTCTTGCATATTTGTTCTTTTTCTTCATTTATCAATGTTTATTATGTATAATATGCATAAATTTTAGTTTATAAATATGAACTAAAAAATTTTAAAAAAAAATATCAGGACCAATTCAACTAGATTTTTCACTAATTTTGATCTATTCAAAACCGGTTCTATCAATTCTTGATTGGTTTTCATTTTAGCCAATTCTCTGTTGCAACTAGATTGGACTTAAGATTGATTTCTAGTTCAACTGGTTGAACCTGTCGGTCTCGTCTGATCTTAACAATACTAACAAATATAAACTTTTAAACTCATTCATTTGATTTATTTTATATGCAAGCTACAAGAAAAGTTTTATTTTTGTTTATCATTTACTCTTTAGCTGAAGATTCACTTATCATAATTGTTCACTTTGAAGTTCTTTTTCTTGTAGGTTTTTTCTTTGCAAGGATCTTTGTGATTGAATGGTTCTTGAAGTTGGTTCCTGTGAGCTTTTTCTTATAGTGTTTTTTAAGCTTTATTTTTCAAGTTGAGCGTGAATTTTAACTAAACAACAAGAGATGTTGCCTATTGATCATTTGGTTTAACTACATCTTTCTATACTGAACTTGGTTTTGAGGATTAGCTTCTCATTACCTTTAATGTGATTTAATGTGGGACTTCTTAAAGTATATGGTGTGATTTGATGTTTTTTAAATTATGCTTGCAAACTCGACATTATTACAGAAATGGGTTGTATGACTTGCATGATTGCACATATAGGAGCATTTTTTCCTGAAAAAAAGTTCTTGCACATATGACTAGAACAGGGACCGTTTTAAAATATAAAGGTTTCCTTGAAAAAAAAGAAATATATATATATATATATATATATATATAAAGGTTTCCGTAATACATTTGAGAGTTTTAAGATGCATACATTCCTGTGTACCTTTTCATTTTGTTTTCCCCTGTTTTTTAATGCTTGGGAACCTCTACTTTGACAAACACCCTTGAATAAATTTTTTTAATTTTTTTTATAAAAATTGTATTGCTGGAATCGTTTTGACAAAAAAACACTCCTACAATAATTTTTATATTTTTACATTTTTGAGATTATTTTAAGGCATTTGATAGATTAAAAATGATATAAATATAACAACATGAATCTTTTTAATTTTTTAAGAAAATATCTATAACAATGTAATTAACTATATATATATATATATTATATATGATCTTTTAGCACAAAATGTTTTAAGCTTTAAGGAATTGATAAACATTTAATATATAATACATATAATTTTTTTTAAAAAAGATTTGGGTGTTTGAATCAAATTGGCCTCAATGTAAATTTGTGTGATTTTTCTCTAGGCCTGATTCTAAAAATTTTTGAGCTTATTTGGATTTATCCATTAGGTTTGGGTCAAATTATTGGCTATATCTACAAGAATATAACTCACAAATTAAAGTAAGTCCAAGAGATAGGGGAACCAAGTTCCAAATGATGCTAAAAAAATCTTGGGCAACTAATGTTCAAAATAACACAAAGGACATTCTTATATATTCAGAGGTTGCTCATTTGATAAAATTGTAATGAGACACACACACACACACACACAAAAAGATAATTGGAAAGAAATATTTTTGTATATATATGCCTATATGTGTTAATTAAAAGAATGGCATATATAGGAGTATCACAGGAAAATTGTGTAAAGTTTAAAACATTTTGTTCATTGTCATGCAAAAGGTTATTTGGTTCACAAGTTAAATTGTGAAAATGCTATTGAATGATAGCTTTGTGAACTTTCACAGATTGTGATGGTGTTGTCAAACATTGGAAACATCAAACAAATGGAAAGAATCGAATCCACAATGATTTAGGGAAAAAGTTTGGGTATGAATTCGATAATCAACAGGTAAATGGGTTCTTATGGTGATATAGAACACCATACCACTTGAATTCAATACCAAATCCATTCTCATTATTGTAAAACAGGATTCTCTTATTAATTACTAAATTTGTTTGGATAATTACAGGTAATAGAGAAACCATAACAAATAAATTATATTTTTCCAAAAAAAATTATCAAATAGGGATAATAAAACTTTTAATTCCTCAAATTTATCTTAATTATTAATTTAATTTTTTAAGTTTATCTTATTTATCGATTTAGTTTGTTTAGTTTACTTTGTTTATAGTTTTGGTCTTATTATTGTGCCACACAAGCTCCTAGACACATGGGCCTATTATTGGGCCTATTTCCACCCACTTTTTTTTTTTTTTAATTTTCACTTGTGTTATGGTTTCTTCATTTTTTTGAGCTAAAAAAAAACATTGGGCTAACAATTTTTGTGTTTAGTTTGCTTATTGTAGAATTAACATATAAAATTTTGAAAATATAAATATATATATATATATATATATATTCATCTTGTGATTTTGCAATCAATTGTTCCATAATTAACCATTATAAGAGTGCTTTGGTGATTTTTTTTTTCCAGTAAAACGTTTTTATTAATAAATAATCATATTGAAGAGTACCTTTGGTTCACACTGTTGTGCTGGACAAAAATGAGGAGGAAGAGATTGGACGGTGAAGGTTGACAAAGGAGGTCCAATAACAATGGAGAAAAAAGTTGGTAGAGTAGCTAGTCAAAGAGCGAGGGAGAAGAGTAACAATGAGAAGGTGGAGAAGAAGGTAGAAGGCTATGGAAAGAAGAAAGAAATAGGACATTGATGTCAATACTAATTTAAATTGAGGATATTTTGGATTGAAAAAAATCCATTCCCAAGGAATGGACCCATTTCCATGGTCTCTTTAATGAAATGAAAATTACCTCAGATGAGGTAATGGGCCACTCTATTAAAATGAGTTCACTCATATACCAAATAATTAAAGTAATCATTTCTTTATTTATTTTTATTCCATCACCCATTATTCCTTTCTACCAAACGAAGGCCTTATAGGTGAGTATTTCTCTTTGAAATTTTAAAAATTTAAATATAAACTTATATATATATATATATATATAGTCATCTTGTCCTTTTGCAATCACTTGCTATAGAATAAACCATTGTAGAAGTATTTTGTTGATTTTTTTAGAAAAATATTTTTATTAATACATCACCATATTAAAAAACGCTAAAAAGATATTAGACTCCACACCAACTATGAGACTTTTTTGCATTAGGTTTATTATAGACTTTCTTTAAATGAAATACATGTTATTAAAATCAACCCACATTCAAGTTGGACATGTGTCATTTATCTTTTTCCTTCTTTCTTTAATTTCTTGCTTTTATGTTTTGTTTTTCCTATTTGTTAACTGTGTTTGAACTATTTGTCATTTTATTAAAAAAAAAAAAAGCATTCCATTAAAGCCTAAAAAAATGAACTTAGCCAATTAAAAAGAAACAAAGAAAGAAACAACAAAGAAACACACAGACACAAACGAAACAACAATGAAAACATAAATTGAGAATCAACAAAGCACCACCACTTATTCTCTTGTGGGCCCCACCTCTCAAGAAATTTCTCTTAGGTAATAAGATCCTTGACAATTCTTTCTTTCTTTCTTTCTTTTTTATCTCCTAGTTTCCAAACAAATTGAAGATCAATTTCAAAAGCATAAAGTAAGGCAAAGTGATAATTGAAACATGCTAAAAAAAAAAATCGTAGACTCATTGATGATTTCTATCTAAGTCTTCTATCTCTTTTCATTTAAAAATTTTTAAATTATTTTCACTATACAAATTGTTTTGTTTAAATTTCTCTGGCAAAAACTTTTATATATATATATATATATTATAGTCTGAGGGAGAATGAAATAATTTATCGTCCAGATATAGGAATCAACGGGATCCTTTTGAATTATACTCAATATTTTATTGCGATTTTAAATTAATAAAATTTCATAAATTTTCGTAGTTATTATTGTCTATGATTTTTTGTTTTTGGGTACCGAAAAAAAAGAAAGAAAACTAATATATATTAGCATGCTTACTTTTATGTTCTAGAAGTTCTGTTTATTATTGCCACGTTATTTGAACATTACTTTTAATGAAACACAATAATTAAATAATGGCGCTAGGAGTTACAAATAAAAGTTGCAGCAATTGTTGAGTTCTACGTGCCTCGAATTTTTGGTTGTGATTTTCTCACATAGAAAAATCACTGTATTTTTAATTAGATGCATGAAGACATGGTTAAGACGTGCTTTGAATTTCTGCATTTTGCTTAAGTTTTACTATATGTTGTTGTAATTTTTTTTAATATTTTATGTTTTTACACTTTTATTTTTTGGTATTCTAAATCCCTATAATACCGCTCATAGAGGGATCTGGAACAATGAAAAATAAAAATATAAAAATCTAAAACATTGAAAAAAATTACAGAAACTTATAATAAAATTTAAACAAAGTGTAAGGATTTAAAGTTATGTTTTCTTATTTATTCACACTAAAATGATGTTGGAAATTAGCCACTCTCGAATGGGATATGTAAATAATCCAAATTTGATTTAAACTGTTTAAATCTGAAATTTTTAATTTTTTTGGTGTCAAAAATCGTTATTGGGGCTTTTAAAAGGTATGTCACGTAACCTTTTAGTCGACGGATTTATTTCTCTGAACACCATGACGCTAGATTGGCACGGAAATTTATTTTTTTAGGTTATTTATGATTGAAAATTACGTTTTACTAATTTACTTATTGCATTTGACGATAATATACATATAAAAAGGTGAAACAATTTAAATTGTCAGAAACTTACTTATTTTTTCACATCATATATCAAAGTATACAGAAGCATATGACAGGTGAATTGAAATATAGAAGAATATGTTTTAAATAGGACAATATAAATAAAAATAGAAGGGAAAGGATTTGAATGGGATCCATCTTGGATGCTCATCTGGATCATCCAACTGATTTAATAAATTATTTTATATTTTATTAAAATTAAAATTTATAAAAATTATTAAAAAGTTGTAATAAAATCTTCTTTATTATTAATCAAAACTAGATTTAATTTAGAGGGTTTAATTTAATAAATTAATATTAAATTTTTATATGTTAATTATCCAGATGTATTCTGCACTGTCTATATTTAAAATTTTTAACTTGTAATTTTTTTAAAAAATATTTTATATTTTTATTAAATCTAGACCGTACAGAATATATCTAAATAATTAAAGTATAAAATTATAAAAAATTTAATATTAAATTAGACCATGTAAAGTACATTTGGACAGTCAATATATAAAAATTATAAAATTTTTAATATTAAATTAAACCTTTCAAATTAAATATAGGTCTAATTGTTGATAATTTTTTTATAATTTTTATTTTAATAAATATAAAATAATATATTAAATTTGAATTTGAATGGTCCAGATTTCATCACCTTAATAAGCACCCAATATGAATCCGTTTGAATGTGTAAGATGTGAAAAAAAAAAAAAAAAGTAAAAGGTGAAAAAGCCAATAAAGCAATGAAAAGCATTACACGGTTTGATGTTTGAAAGCATTTTCCTTCTCATTCTTTCTCCACTTTTCTTTAATTTGAAGCAGCTGGTGACTTCATCATATTACTTCGAAATCAAACATATCTTTCAATATTACCTCATCATTCTTCATGTTTCTGCTTTCTTCCTTGCTTTGTTTTAGATTTATTCTATGAATTTTGCTTTGAATTAAACGTGGAACGTCGACAAGA